ATATTCATTCATAACTTGTTTATAAATATTGAAATTAGTTAATAATATAAATATAAAATAATGTAAAAAAGTTTCTGTGTAATGTTCTACACGTACCTTTTTGAATTATAGATGAAATAGAAAGATTTGATGTTTTATTATTGCAGAATTGTGTGTGTGTGTTTTGAAGCATTTCAGTCTCCCTAGTGAAACAACACGATTTGTCTGGAATACCCAGTGATGAATTCATCCTAAATTATCATGGTCCCAGCAATACTTACAGATGGTTTAGGTTGTTCCTGGTATTCTTTCTCAAGACAGAGCTTCTCCTCTTTTAGACTAAAAAGGAGAAACAAAATTCTTTGAAACAAATTTCATGCATTTCACAGAAATCAGGACGTGAACAGAATCAAGATATGAAGCAATTCATACAAAAAGGAACTAAAATATGCATGATACAAACTTTGAGAAGCAAAATAAAAATTATTATTTTTAAGCACACAGGATATTTCACAATTATAAATGTGGCTAGGGTTATTGAACATTTTCATGTGTACAAATATTGTAGCTGAATGCAAGTACTGCTGTTAGCATGAACCGAATTGCCCCAACAAAGAAGGAGATTACAGTGAGCAAAAGCATGCTGTGCAAAGTGAATCTATGTCAGTTTGGCTAAGGATGAAGGATCCACTCAGGACATGCTGTAATAGCCACATGTGTAGAAACTACATCTGGCTGTAATATGCCTGCCGTATGAATTCCTGTCTAACCAACTTACAAACATAAAATACATCTCTAGTACAGTGGTTCACAGACATTTTAGAAGTTCAAACTTAGAAGAAGTTCTTAAATCATACATTTTCTGTTAACACAGTCAGTAAATTCACTGTTACGACTGGGTGCTTTTTGTCAATTAGAAATATTTTATTGATTGATTGATTGATTGATTGATTGACTGATTGATTGATTGTGGCACCTTTAACATATAATGCCATGGAAGCAGTGAGGTTTTGATCAATTTAATTTACCACACCAAAATATTACAGGCCTGATTTAAAGGGATAGTTCAAGCAAAAATGAAAATTCTTTCCAAATTCTAAAACAAGGTGCAGCGAATGCATGTACTACATCAGCAGCATCATGCGCATGCGTTGTTTACATGCAGAGGAACGCACACATCGCCGTACTCTCCATAATGGTGGATGATCGGGAGGTGAAGAATTGTTGAATAAAGTCGTTATTTTTGTTTTCTTTGTGTACAAAACGTATTCTCGTAGCTTCACAAAATTATGGTTGAACCACTGATCTCACATGGACTATTTTAATGATGTCCTTGCTATGTTTCTGTGAGTGTGCCTTGAACGTGTCAATTGCGTTGCTCTCTATGGAGGATCAGAAAGCTCTCGAATTTCATTAAAAATATCTTAATTTGTATTCTGAAGATGAATGAAGGTCTTACGGGTTTGGAACGACATGAAGGTGAGTAATTAAATGACAGAATTTTCATTTTTAGGTGAACTATCCTTTTAAGATTATTAGTAGCTTTTGGCCTTTTTTAAAGTTATTTCACATGTTTGTTACAAAAGGTACTTAGAAAAAGGTCAGCAAACACTGTCTGGAAGCCATGACTCAGCATACAGTGTTCTTTTTTTGATTTCGGACATGGAGGCGAGTGTTCTGAGGGATGCAGATAAAAGTACCAAACACCTCTTCTTTTTGCATATTTTAAATGGAGCCTAAGCAGAGCCACACATCTTGGTATAGTCCTGCAGAGCATCTTACCACTCAAACTGGAACTGCATCTGGTATTCTCTTTCTTCCTCCTCCTTCAGCTGGTTGTAGTACTGCAGAAGCGTTTGTTTTAGTCTGCTGACCTCTGTGTCTGGTCCCTCAGGAAACAGCTCGGCCTTCTCCAGCTCCTGCTTCTGCTGATCCAGTGTGGTGCGTAAGGCCTTTGCCTCCTGCAGCAGATGCATTTCTGTTTCCTGAGAACTTCTTAGAGTTTCATGTAAGAGGTTGAAGCTGGCCCTAAGACGAGCCATTTTCTCCCCGCTGATCTTTCCCATGGAGAACAGCTGAGGACAAAGACGAAAAAAGAACTATCAATGATCCAACAGCCAAATAAACATTAGGTTAATTGCATTTCAAAGCCAAACAGGTTGATGGGGATTTACTGTGACTCATTTCAGGTGCGTCTTAGAGCAAATCCACATGTGTGCCACTTGCATTTGAACTCCAGAATGGAAAGGATGGATCTAAGATTTGAGTGTTGTTTATCTGACCACTGAAGTTGACGTTTTCTATATAAGCATCTCTGATTATCAACAGAAAATCTGAACATGTGTGGTTTTCTCCTTTATAGTGGAGACAAACAAACACAAGGTTTGAGAGTTCGTACCCAAGCATCCATATAATGTTGAAGATCTTTTTCTTGAGAAGCAGCTTGTGTGTTATCACTTCCTAATTTATAGCACTTTTATTTAGAGACTTCCTGCAGTGAGCCAAGGCAGGAGACTTAAAGCTGGTTACTGTCAAGTTTATAGGAAATCATGAGGCACACATGTGGAGAACCAGCTTTGAAGTAAGACACTGGAACACATCTTACAATAGGCAGTTTAGGATAACATTTCTCTGTGCTGATCTATTAGAAAGAAAAAGGAGTATAAAATGGAGTATATTGATGATGACAGACTTCTGTAGAAAATTGCAGCACCAATTCAATGGGGAAAAGAAACCAAACAAAACTGTGAAGCTATTTCTGGCAGACGTCTCGACACATCTGCTAAAGATTAAATAAATACTACAGTTTATGACACCAAAGTCCCAAACAAAGCTTGTTTGTATTACAGCCAATATTACAGTAAAACACTGCTTTGTGACAACAAATGATCCTATGCCAATACAAACACATTAGCAATACGTAATGCAAACACATGACAGTATGAATAAATTAATGATGACAGACAATATTTTCACCACAGCATTTACAAGAATACAGGGAAAGAATATGACTGTTTTATGTTCAAGTTCACCCAAAAGTTAATATTCTGTCATTATTTATTCACCCTTGTGTTGTTTCAAACCTCTATGACTTTTTTTCTTTCAGCAAAAATTGAGGAAAAAAAATAAATTAAAAATAGTAGAAACTTTCTGGTCTTGTGTTCCACAGAAGAAAGAAAACTCATACAGGTTTGGAACAACATGCGGATAAGTATATGAAGACAGAATGTTCATTTTTGAATGAACTTTCACTTTAAATCTAATTCTGTTTTAACAAAAAACTCCAACTAGTGCCTTCTCAGCACTTGAATTGCTTATCTGGCTCATTCTTTCATATACTGTAGATTAAACTCAAGGTAAAAAATAAAGACAAACATCATTCCTAAATACTGAGTCATAGTGCTGTGTTTCAAGAGAAAGGGTGAGTGGTCCTATTCCACCAAATTCTTCCTGCGTTGATGTCGACTGTGCAATTATGCAATGCACAGCTGCCCCACCCACACTTTCTTTCTCTCTCTCCTCTGATATTAATGGCAAAGCTGTTGCACTTTGAGGCAGTTCTCTTCAGTTCTCGGTCTCAGTTTAGATCACTGTATTTGAGAACATGAAACTGGTGTACGTGTGCTGTTCTCTGCTGATTGTCGTCTGGCAGGAGGTAGAGGCTTCTGGTAGTGGCCCCTCTGGGGTTCTGGACAGGGTGTCAGGAGGTTCCAGCTGCTCCCAGGTGAGACTGAAGCCAGCTGGGCAGTGTGAAGATGAGGAAGAGTGCCCGTACCAGATCACACTGCCACCGCTGACTATCCAGCTTCCCAAACAATTCCGACTGCTGGAGAAGACCATGAAGGAACTGCAAAGCTTGAAGGAGACAGTAAACAGGTTGAAGAGCTCCTGTCTGGAGTGCAGCTCACAGCAAGTGGACCTCAACTTGCAGAAGGACAGCGGAGACCCTCCGACAAACAGCGCAGAGCAAAGTCAAGGGGATACCAGAACGAGAGTCTACCGGAATGGGAACAACAGTGATAATGACATTGTACAACACATGCAGGTGAAGATGAATCGCATGTCTATCAGCCTGAAGAATGCACGTTCACAGATTAACTCCCTTCAGGGCCGTCTGGAGGAACTTAACCTCCTCAATCTGCAAAATGTGGAGGATATAGTGGACAGAAAAGTTGAGAACATTACCGGGATTGTCAACAAAATCAGCAGCACTTGCACAAATTGTCCAGGTCAACAACAACAACAACTTCAGCGTAAGTTAAATTAAGTTAAATAATTCTACTTAAAAAGGCTCAATGTGAGTACATTTTCATGAATACCATATGGAAATATTGTACATACATATATACACACACACACACACACACACACACACACACACACACACGAGTTGTATAAGAGAGCACAAAGTCTCTACTCACCAAGGCTGCACTTATTTGATCAAAAATACAGTAAGAAAACGTAATTTTGTGAGATATTACAATTTAAAATAAGTTTTCTATTTTAGTATATTTTAAAATGAAATTTATTCCTGTGATGGCAAAGCTGAATTTTCTGCAGTCATTACTCCAGTCTTCTTCAGCATCATGTATAAGAACCTATTTAGGACACACAGAACTGGGGTACACTAGAATATCATTTAGATCATTTACATATAAGAACCTCATAGAATGCTTTCAAGCTGCCTCATCAAACAGGGGCTATCGCATTGAAGTTTCTTCAGTTTATTATTAGGCAAGTTAACTGCCAGGAGACAGGCTACTGGAATAGTTTTGCGAATCCTCATTGAAATCTTCTGACTTGAATTCACAAAATCAGATGTGGAATGAAAACGAATTATACCAATGCTTGCATTTCAAAAATTAAAACCTGCTGCAGGAATGAACTCTAGTCACAGAATCACATGGTGATGAAATAAATGTAATAAGCACCACTGAACTAAATTATATTTTGGGTCATCTACACAATTTTATCAAGCATCACAGGACAAACATATAAAAACACATACATTCTAACATTTTAACTACAATCTGTATGACCTTAAAATGATAGTTCACCCAAAAATTACAGTTCTGTTAACATTTGCTCACCCTCATGTTGTTCCAAACCTGTATGAGTTTCTTTCTTCTGCTGAACACAAAATTATATATTTTGAAGAATGTTGGTAACCAGACAGTTGCTGGTAGACATTGACTTCTATAGTATGGGGGAAAATTCTATGGAAGTCAATGAGAACCAGAAACTGTTTGGCTACCCACATTCTCCAAAATATATTCTATTGTGTTCAGCAGAAGAAACAAACTCATATAGGTTTGAAACAACATTGAGTAAATGATTGATTTGAGTAAATGGTGACAGATTTTTATTTTTGGGTGAAACATTTCTTTCAGTTCCTGATGCATGTGTAAATTATACAGCATGCTTAAAAGTCTCTCTCTTCACAGACCTCACAAACATCACTCCCAGAGACTGCTCTGACATCAGCGCACTGGGGCAGAGAAAAAATGGGGTGCACCAGGTGACCCCTGATCCCAGAAATGGCAGCTTTGCGGTGTACTGTGACATGGAGGAATTCGGTGGCGGGTGGACTGTCTTGCAGCGTCGCATCAACGGCAGCGTGAGCTTCAACCGCACCTGGGCTGAATACAAGAAGGGCTTTGGTGACCCTAAAGGCGAGTTCTGGCTGGGCAATGATAAAATCCACCTGCTCACCAAAACCAAGGACATGATCCTGCGCATTGAGCTCGAAGATTTTGAGGGCACACGTGGGTATGCCAAGTACGAACAGTTCTACGTATCCAATGAGTTCCTCAATTATCGGCTGTCTTTGAGCGGGTACTCAGGGACTGCTGGAAATGCTCTGCAGTTTAGCAAACACTTCAACCATGATCAGAAGTTCTTCACTACGCTGGACAAGGACAACGACATGTACCCCTCAGGGAACTGTGGAGCGTACTACGGATCGGGCTGGTGGTTTGATGCCTGCATGTCAGCAAACCTCAATGGCAAATACTACAAAACAAAATACAAAGGGAAGAGGGATGGGATCTTCTGGGGCACGTGGCACAACCTGACTTCTGAGTACTATCCGACAAACTACAGACAAACATTTAAAAATGTCAAAATGATGATAAGGCCAAAGAATTATGCACCCTAAGCCAAATGAAGTATAAATGAACAATTATTTTGGGGGCAGTTACGCACTTTTCCTCAAGAACAACTTATAAAGATATAGCTTGTGATTCATTAAAAATCCTCAAACATTAACAGAACTGCATTTTAAAAAATATATAAATATATATATTTTTATATATAAAAAATATATAAATTTAAATATATACATTTTGTATTTGCAAAGCACATCAAAATGCTATCCATCATCTAGTCTAAATATACCAGATCTTGAGTTATGGTTTCATATTTGTGTATGTGCTACTGCCATCTTGTGTTTAACTGGTTTACTACACCATCCTCTTTATAGACTCCTGATAAGTACATTTTTTCCCTGTGTTGATGTATTTAGTGGGACACAATGAACAGCTTTATTAAATTTTTTTTTAGCTTTTTTAAAATTATTTTAAAATATTTTTTTTATACTGTTCATAATCTTCTTTATCTTCAAAATCTTCTGGTGGACTTTTTAAATATATATTTTTACTGTAGGCTAGATGTTTATACAGATGGCTGAAAGTTAACAGACATGGACTAAAGGCCCATAAGGTTGATAAAAAGATACTATACTATATCTGTGACATTCAAGGAGGAAATGTACAGTATTTATTTTGAAAGCATGGGATGATTTTTTAAAGGTTTTTAAGTACTGCTGTGTGACTAGGCAGACCTTGATGAAGTTTTTTTTTTTTTTTTACCAGTCTGAAATGAATAAGTTTCGGGGGTTTTTCTAATCATTATTAGCCAACTTTTTAAGAAACTGTTTGTACATTGGAGAAATTATATCAAACACCTCAATTTGTGCTTTTAAAGGTACATTCATATTTTGTATAAAACAAATAAAACTGCATCTAAACATTGAGAGTTGGTTTTGGACTTTCTCACACACAGTCATTCGGCTGAGCACATTTTTGTACTCAACTCAAGTCTGATACCACACTGTATGATGAATACACACACAAAAAAAAGCCTTTACTCACATTAGTGTCATGGTATTTTACCAGTTTTGCCAATTTAACAAGATTAATTATTATTATTTTAAAGAGCTTCTACCTGTTCCAGGTCCTGCAGGGCTGGATTTGATGATATGACAGCAGGTTGTTCATGATGTGCATCAGCTTCTGGAGCCATTGCAGAAATGGGCGTGGCCCTCTCACTGGAGCCTTCCTCCTCCTCAGAGCTCCGCCCCTCTGCTTGACTCATGAGCTGCAAATAATACATTTACTTTTAAAGACAGTCATATGAAAATTATATTTTAATCTGCTAAATCAATGCATGAACTATTTCCCACTGCTTTACATAATCTTGACCCTAAAATCTGAAACTACACCTCTGCATGATTTAGAGCAGGGATCCTCAAATCTGGCCCACGAGATCCACTTTGCTGCAGTAGCTCTAACCCTAATCAAACACACCTGAGTATGCTAATCAATGTCTTCAGAATCATTAGAAAACCACAGGTAGGTGAGTTTGATCAGGGTTGGAGCTAAACTCTGCAGCGCATTGGCCCTCCAGGGCAAGATTTGAGGAACCCTGATTTAGAGCAAGTTTGTGGCAGCTGTAGACAATTAACCTCATTAATTGGGACACGTATTTAGTGGAGGCTGCTCATTTTTCCAATCACAATAACAAACGATAGTTATCATGGCTCAACATAACAACGCACAAACGGACGCCGCACAGAGTAATTCAGGTAAACTGTTAATAATTTAAACAATATTAATATACAGTATTAGTGTAAAATATTGTTGTAGTATAGTACTTTAATAGTATTAGGCAGCTTTTCTGTATTTTAGTACAAATCTTGGCCGTGTTCACTTCCGAACTGCTAAGATGGTCTCAAGCTCTGACCCACTTAATTATAATACAAGCATTTAATGTAAACTTTCTACATCTTAGTCCGTTTAGTATTACTGTATGTCATGCAAGTTATGTCTTCCAACGCTGTCTTTATAACTTACCGTAATATTTAAGTTCTTTAGCTGTGAAGTCTTTCAATCTCTGTCGTTTCAGTCACTGTTTTCCTGCGCGCGACGCGGTCTCCATAGCAACTCCTGCAGAGGGAATCAAGCGCGCGCGCAGCTGCAGAGCCACGTTGAGCGCTTTAGGGGGTTAAAATTGTTTATTTTTCGTCAACGTTTCTGACCGTCTTAACCCCTTTCTCTTTGGCAGATACAGAACCTGATAAGAGCTACATTAGTGTATTTAAACGCAGACAGCCGTTAACGTTCTCGCCGAACCGCCAGTACGTTTTGGCCGTCGTCTTCCCTCTGCAAAAACAGGACAGCTGTGAAACTGGTAAGGACCCATGAGAGATGCTTTTCCATACTGTATGAAAACGATTTAAAGTCTATATCTATCTATCCTGGTTTATTATGCAGAGAAAACTCATGTCTGTGCTTGAAAAGGTGTATTCTTTTTGGCTCGGAATGGTGTACTACATGCTGCTATTGGTATTGCTTCAGTCTATGTAGTATGCAAAGGAATACACCTGTGAAGAATTTGTTTAGCTATTACAAAATAGTTCAGAATTTAGCAGCCTTGTCTCTGATTGGTTGGAATTATGGCATATTGTAACGCTGGGTTGTGTTGAGCAAGCCAGCCGTCGACATTTAGAGAGCACTGAGGGTGGGCATCAAGGGAGCAAGCTAGTGAAACGTTACACACGCAAAAGAAAAGGTCTGCACACATCCCAAAACTTATTTCAAATGCAGAATTGATTTTAGTGTGCTCTAAATACTTTTTTCTTTGCGAAACGAACATTTTCTCCACAAAACTCAGATCACGCGCGTGCAAAATGCACTTTTGTGCGCTCAAAATATGATCTTTCGCGTGCAGAATTGTGGCAGAAATGTAAGCCCATGTAGTGTTCGTATCAGTTTTGAGCATCCTGACTGCACCGGCCTCAAGAGTGCAAATACACATCAAGTACATTATTTGTAACAGCCTGAACTGATGGAATTGTGTGACTTCACCAGTCTTGGCAGATGACGGATCTTCTAGAGCATCTTCAACTGCTCATGCAAACAGAAGAGAAATCCGAAATTATTACACATACAGGTGAAGTTGAAGTGTGTTTTATTTTTTATTTATTTATTTTTTTTAACTAAACTTATCTGTAGCCCAGTACACTGGACTTCGTCAACAGTGACCACTTTTGAGCCTTTCTCTTTTGACGAGCGTGATGCTGCACGGAAAGTTGAGCGTGAGAGGAGACTGCAGGAGATTCGCCAGATGCAAGAACGGCAATGGGTGAGAATGCTGTCCTGTGAAAACTGTCAATCTGAAGATGCTGTGAATTTAGGTGCGTTTTGGAATATGTAAAATGCTTTTTTTTTTTTTTTTTTTTTTTTTTTAAAGCATTCAACATTTAAAGCACATCCAATAAGAAGATACAAACCACTTGTTCAACTCTGTGGACAGTCCCAGACCCATTCACAAGAGTCAAAATAACGTTGAAGAAACTTAAGATTTGTCTTGTCGTTTTTAGTGTTTAAAAAAAAAAAAAATAAACCATTTATTGACAAAAGCTGTGCTTTCAAATTTGTTAGTCCAATGCGTGATATGGTTGTCTAAGTGTTCGAATCAGTCTTTTATTCTTTTGCACATCCTGCATTCAGGCAGTGCATTTTAGTGTTTTAGTTTAAGGGGGATGGGGTGTGCTATTTGAGCACGATATGAGGTTTTATTTCATGGTATCTAACTTTTTTTTTTTTTTTTTTTTTTTTTTTTTTAAATGTGTGTGGGGGG